CCTTATATTTTCTTCTCCTCCCTTGTTTTCCTAGCCCACCCATCCGCCTCCACCACAACCTTTCTCTTAAATGCAGTTCTGCTAAATCCATGCCAGTGACAAATGTGGACATTGTTTTCACACATTAGAAGACTCAGGACTAAAGAAGTTGCTTTGTGCTTGGCCTCCAACACCATAAGTAAGACATTGATTGAATATTGACATCTGCTGAATGGTGCTTTTTGTCAAGAAAATTGGCAAAGCACTATCTTGTCAAATGTTTTATTTTTTGAAGAAATTTCAGGCTTTAAGTCTTTAACCCTTATAAATTATTTCATTATAAATTTCATTTGAAATATGTTATAGCAAGAACATATCTGACCATGTGGGGGAGACATAGGACTTATATATTTAATCATTTTACTTTGGAAAGTATTGATATACGTAAAAGCTCAAAATACAAATCAAAACCAAAAGAACACACTTTACTTAGAAGTTTTAACATACACTGTCACCATAATATTTTATTCTTATGTAGTTATTCCTGTTAAGAGGCTACCACTCTGTGAGTAAGCTTTATCGATCTTGGAGCTGGTACAGCTGTGTATTTCTACAGATGTGCCCAATGGTTAGCAAGAATTTTCTTGATTTTGCTTCTTTAGGCAGAAGAAATTGTTTTGAATATAAAACCAAGGAGCTAATAAGATAGCTTAACTATTTTAGTGATTTCATATCCCTTTTAGTTGTTCTGTTGTTCTGAAATCGAAGCCCAAAGGTCAATCCTAAGAGTTCCAAATGGTCACATGTGTCTACCATATTTCAAGTAAAATAAGTAATACTTTCTACCAGAATCTCAAACTGCTATTAGGATCAAATGGCCTTTTGAGACCATGTGTGAATCTCTTTTCCAGAACCTCTTATAATGATTTGGGGGTGGAACGAGAAGTCTGAAACGTTTCCTTAATTTTTTTTTAATTGATTGATTTTTTTATGTGACTCCATATTTTGATTGTACCATTTTTTTTGCCTATAAGCTCTTCCCATTTATCAGTAGGCAAATTACCATAAGGTTAATGTATTCCTTTGCTCACATTTTTCTCAGAATATCTCTCCCATTTCCTCCTCCACACAAAAGTATATTCTGGCCCTAATGAAACCCAGGTTATGAACAGGACTCTGCAATGCCAAAATGCTCACACTTAGAAATGGGAGACCTTTGGTTGGACTCGTTCTCTAACTCAGAGAAAATAGGTCATACTTCCAAGAGGGGCCTCCGAAGAGGGGTGATGAGGGAAAGGAGTTAGGGGAAAAAGAGAGTTCAAGGTCAAATAAGGTCCTCTCCTCTTAAGACCTATAGCCTGACACATATAGAAAGAAGACGTTTTCTTATTTTGAGATATAAGTTTAAAAAAAAAAGTAAATCACACATGAAGAGAAATTAATATTTAAGGTGAAACCCATTAATATAATGCACAGACATTTATAACATAATTAGATGATGACCTAGCTTATATGAATATTCAGCCACATTATACCATATAATAGACCTGCACATATCAAGCATGTGTGAGTCATTTCACAATTTGGGAAGTGGAGATAGTATTACAGCTCATTGTTGGTAATTTTAGTCCTCTATTGGCTTTGCCAGCTGACTCTCTTTTTTTTTGTTTCAAACTTTAGAAAAAGGATTTTTCAATTTTTGGGGAGTTATGTAGCAGGTTTCTTTCTTAGCAATATAGTATTACCCAATAATACACTGTAATTTTAAGTGATTCTATTACATAAATGCCACAATCGACAGTTCTTTGCATTTATTCTTTGGGCATGGATCAGTGTTTCTGTGTTGCACATCTGCAGGGATGCTACTCTATGCACTGATTCTGTTATCAGAGAGGCACAGGATATGTCTTTATTTCATAACGTATACCCAGGATGACTAAAACTACACACAAGTTAACATTCTTATGGTTGGATTTGGATTATCTGAAATCCAATCAGATATTTGGATTATCTGAAATCCAAATCTTGTAACTTGGAATCAATAAAATTTTAAAGTAATAAAAAAATGTGTACACATGCAGTATGAAATGTTTTAGAAGTGTTACTTTAGATGTTATCAAGTGTTTTATGAGTATTACTTTAGTATTTTTTAGACCAAGTGCTGTCAATTCAATGAAATTACATTTTATGAGTGTTACTAAGTATCCTTCAGACATAAAGTACTGTCAATTAAATAAAATTAAGTGTAAGAACCATGAATTATTCAGAAGAAATTTGGCATACTTTACCCAAATTTGTGCATTCAGATAACAAATAATCTGAGAATATTCAATGACAAACATGAAACTATTGTATTCAAACTGGATAATTTTTTTTTTTTTTTTTTGAGACGGAGTCTCGCTGTGTCGCCCAGGCTGGAGTGCAGTGGCGTGATCTCAGCTCACTGCAAACTCTGCCTCCTGGGTTCACGCCATTCTCCTGCCTCAGCCTCCCGAGTAGCTAGGACTACAGGTGCCCACCAATGCGCCCGGCTAATTTTTTTTGTATTTTTAGTAGATACAGGGTTTCACCGTGTTAGCCAGGATGGTCTCAATCTCAAACTGGAGAATTTTTTTAAATCAAGATGGTATTTTGATTATTCTTTGGAGAATACCTTTGTAAGATTTGTTTTGTTTTTATAAGTGTTTAGTATTTATTTTGATTTCACATTTTAACATAATGTAGGGAGTACCCTCTGAGAAAGTCAGAAATACCATAAAATAAAAATAGAGATGCCCGTTTGCATCCTAAAAATTTAACAACAACGTTAAATAAATTCTCTTTGCCCATTCTAAAAACAGATATATGTTCCTATTTGGAGAAAAAAAAAATACCCTCTGTGGTCTGAAGACTTCTGGTGGAAATATTAAAATAATGATCATCACAAGGACTTTGTAGATAAAGAACTATTTATTTTAGTGAATTCATTCTAATGTTCATATTTTTAATGCAAAAGCCTGTGTGGATCACTCCCATTGGTGTCAGATTGCACTTAAATGTTTTTACATTCATTAAAAATTTTTCCTCCTTTCATTTTATGTTTAGATGCATGTGTTGGTTTATTTTCTTTTTATTTTTGCAGATGAGCCATGTCTGGGAGACAAGTCCATATTCTGTCAAATGGAAGTGTTGGCACGATACTGCTCCATACCAGGTTATAACAAGTTATGTTGTGAGTCCTGCAGCAAGCGCAGTAGCACCCTGCCACCACCATACCTTCTAGAAGCTGCTGAAACTCATGATGATGTCATCTCTAACCCTAGTGACCTCCCTAGATCTCCAGTGATGCCTACATCTTTGGTTCCTTATCATTCAGAGACCCCTGCAAAGAAGACATCTTTGAGTAGCATCTCTTCGGTGGGAGGTCCAAATGCATATGCTGCTTTCAGGTCAAACAGTAAACCTGATGGTGCTAATTTACCCCAGAGGAGTGCTCAGCAAGCAGGAAGTAAGACTGTGAGACTGGTAGCCACACCATCCTCCCCACCCACCAAGAGGGGCCACCTCAGTTCAGCTTCACAAATGGCTGCTGCTTCCTTCTTTGCAGCCAGTGATTCAATAGGTGCTTCTTCTCAGGCAAGAACCTCACAGAAAGATGGAAAGATTATTGACAACAGACGTCCGACAAGATCATCCACCTTAGAAAGATGAGAAAGTGAACCAAAAAGGCTAGAAACTAGAGGAAAACCTGGACAACCTCTCCTCCCCATGGTGCATATGCTTGTTTAAAGTGGAAATCTCTATAGATCGTCAGCTCATTTTATCTGTAATTGGAAGAACAGAAAGTGCTGGCTCACTTTCTAGTTGCTTTCATCCTCTTTTGTTCTGCATTGACTCATTTACCAGAAATCATTGGAAGAAAGCACCAAAGATTATTAAAGAAAAAAAATATGTTGCTAAGTTTGTGTTGGTCGCTCTCTGAAGCAGAAAAGGGACTGGAACCAATTGTGCGTATCAGCTGATTTTTTTGTTTGTTTTAGAAAAGTTAAAGTAAAAATAAAAAAGAGATACCAATGGTTTACACTTTAACAAGAAATTTTGGATATGGAACAAAGAATTCTTAGACTTGTATTCCTATTTATCTATATTAGAAATATTGTATGAGCAAATTTGCAGCTGTTGTGTAAATACTGTATATTGCAAAAATCAGTATTATTTTAAGAGATGTGTTCTCAAATGATTGTTTACTATATTACATTTCTGGATGTTCTAGGTGCCTGTCATTGAATATTGCCTTGTTTGACATTCTATAGGTTAATTTTCAAAGCAGAGTATTACAAAAGAAAGTTAGAATTACAGCTACTGACAATATAAAGGGTTTTGTTGAATCAACAATGTGATACGTAAATTATAGAAAAAGAAAAAAGTCACAAAAGCTATAGATATACAGATATCAGGTTACCTATTGCCTTCTATACTTATAATTTAAAGGATTGGTGTCTTAATGCACTTACGGTCACAGGGATCAATGAATAGTAAATGAACTCGTGCAAGATAAAATTGAAACCCTCTTTCCGGGACCTCAGTAGGCACCGTTGAGGTGTCTTTTGTTTTTGTGTGTGTGTGTTTCTTTTTTAATTTTCGCATTGTTGACAGATACAAACAGTTATACTCAAGGTACTGTAATAATCGCAAAGGAAAAAGTTTTGGGATAACTTATTTGCATGTTGGTAGCTGAGAAAAGTATCATCAGTCTAGAATTGATATTTGAGTATAGTAGAGCTTTGGGGCTTTGAAGGCAGGTTCAAGAAAGCATATGTCAATGGTTGAGATATTTATTTTCCATGTGGTTCCTGTTCAAATGTTCACAACCACAATGCATCTGACTGCAATAATGTGCTAATAATTTATGTCAGTGGTCACCTTGCTCACAGTAAAGCCAGAAATGCTCTCTCCAGGGAGTAGATGTAAAGTACTTGTACATAGAATTCAGAACCGAAGATATTTATTAAAAGTTGATTTTTTTTCTTGATAGTATTTTTATGTACTAAATATTTACACTAATATCAATTACATGTTTTGGTAAACTAGAGAGATATGATTAGAGGTGCATGCTTTGTTCTGTGCGTAGAGGAGACATTTAAGCAAACTACTATAGCCAACTCAAACGCTAAAACTGAACTAATTTGATGTTATGCAAGCATCTTGCATTTTTAGTAGTTGATATTAAGTTGATGACTTGTTTCCCTTCAAGGAAACATTAAATTGTATGGACTCAGCTAGCTGTTCAATGAAATTGTGAATTAGAAACATTTTTTAAAGTTTTTGAAAGAGGTAAATGTGTCATGAATTACATGTAAATGAGAGGAGATAGTGTTATCAGCATAATGATTTTGAGTTCAGTACCTGAACTGTGTAAAAATATATTATGCAAACTAAAATGTAGATAAATTAAACTCTCAAAGCACAGAATGTGTAAGAACTTTTGCATTTTAATCATTGTAAACTAACACCTTAAACTATTGACTCTATACCTCTAAAGAATTGCTGCTACTTTGTGCAAGAATTTTGAAGGTCAAATTAGGCAAATTTCAGATAGTAAAACAATCCCTGAGCCTTAAGTCTTTTTTTATTTTTCCTAAAAATTCCCATAGAATAAAATTCTCTCTAGTTTACTTGCGTGTGCATACATCTCATCCACGGGGGAAGATAAGGATGGTCACACAAACAGTTTCCATAAAGATGTACATATTCATTATTATAATTCTGACCTTTGGGCTTTCTTTTCTACCAAGCTAAAAATTCCCTTTTATCAAAGTGTACACTACTGATGCTGTTTGTTGTATTGAGAGCACGTAGCAATAAAAATGTTAACAAAATATAGATCTGGCTCTATCTAGATTTTATCATTAGATTCATTATGGGGTGATGGAAAAGTGTATTTCCTCTTACACAGTGAAATGGCATCAAATTTATTTGCTACCTGTAGTTACTTGAAAGACTCAAGTGACTGTCTCCTGTTTTCACATCATGGTATATTACAATGATTTTTAAAAAAAAACCAAAAGCAAAATAAGAGGTGGCTTTTTGGTTAAATCTGTCTCATAGAACTATGAAGAAGATGAGTAAAGATAGTGACCATGCTAGTATTTCAGAGAAGGAAATGGTTACCTTCTGTTTTTAAAATCTGCAAC